CCCCATTTCAACAAATGAGTTTTTTTTAGACTAGAAGAGTTCTGCCTTTTAAGACAGGAAAGTGTAGCAGTTAAAGTTGCTACTTGAGAAAATACTGAACCATAGAGATAAAAATAGCCCTGTGATTCAAATTATAAATTGTATTTGGAATAAAAATGTATTTGGGGCGACAGTGGCGTTGGATGTAGGAGTTTGCCCTGTAATCGAAGGGTTGACGGTTCAAGCCCCGACTCCGACTTTCATTGTCGTTGTGTCCTTGGGCAAGACACTTCACCCGCATTGTCTACTGATGGTGGTCAGAGGGCCCGGTGGCGCCAGTGTACGGCAGCCTCGCTTCTGTCAGTGAGCCCCAGGGCAGCTGTGGCTACAATGTAGCTTGCCACCATCAGTGTGTGAGTGTGTGTGTGAATGGGTGAATGAATGTAGTGTAAAGCGCTTTGGTCAAGTCTCCTAACTTGAATAAAGGCGCTATATAAGTACATGCCATTTACCATTTACCATTTAAAAATGAGAGAACTAGGGGTGCTAAAAAACACATCCTCCAAAGACAGATATTTACATGGGAATGTGGCATATAATTAATTGACATATTACTGATCTTGCTGGATTTTATTCTGCTTTACTTCCATAAATTGCAGGATCTTCTTTACTTTATCTTTGCCAGAAGATTTAAACTTTAAAAGCCTTGCCCTCATAATTTGCAAGTTAATTTATGTATAAAGAAAATATAAACGCTGCTTAAGCTAATTCAAATGAAATTAAAAGTAAAATAAGAAGGCACTTCCTATTTGGATACCTGCCTCCACTTTTAAAATTTTAGATAAAATTATTAATAACTTTATTTGGCAAAGGAGGAAAGCAAGAATCAGACAGAAGTTACTGTTAAGCCCAAGAAGAAAAGGTGGCCTTGGTTTGCCTAATTTGAAATTGTACTACTGGGCAGCACAACTTAGTGTGGTGGTCCAGTGGCTTGTGCAGGATGAGGAGACGAACTGGATTGGTCTGGAGAACAATGCTTGCCCACTGGTACCTCTTGAAGCGATGCCATTTATGGAGGGAAAAAATTGGAAGGATTTAAAAATTGAAAATGAGTGGATTAATTGTACATACAGAGTCTGGTCTCTAGTGAGGAAGAAAATAGGAGCACCTTTAACTATATCACGCATGATAAAAATAGCCAAGATTACTGACTTTTTTCCAAACAAGCTAGATACGGGTTATCAGAGATGGGCTCAGAAAGGATTAATAAGAATTAATCAGTTATTCAGTGGAGAAAATATTAAGACCTTTAAGCAATTACAGGACAAATATGGATTATGCTCAAAAGATTTCAAAAGTATTTACAATTAAGAGATTATCTTCTATCACATAAAGAATGGCCTAAATTGAAACAAAATACTTCACCTTTGGAAATATTTTTGATAAAATGTGTGGAGGAAAATAATAAGAGGAAGATCATATCTAATCTATATAAACATTTACAAATGCATTTCTCTGACAGCTCTATAGACATAAAACAAAAGTGGGAACTTGAAATGAATATTGTTATTGAAGATGAGGAGTGGGAGGAGATTTGTGAGAAAGGTTTTAAGATCACCCACAGTCCAAATTGGAAAGAATTTGACTGGAAATTAAAAATGAGATTCTTCAAAACACCTTTCAGTATTTCAAAATACGACAGAAATGCTACAAATATGTGTTGGAGGAATTGTAGTCAGATTGGGGATCACACTCACATTTTTTGGGACTGCCCAGTACTGATTCCATTCTGGCAGGGGGTTCAGACAGAAATTAAAAATATACTCAAGTTTACGTTACCACTGAACCCACTGCATTATATACTGGGTTTGACCCCAGGAGATGATATTGGGAAAAAGGAAGTCCAGTTACTACAGATCCTGCTACTAGTAGCAAGAAAAATGATAACCTTGTCTTGGCTCAAGCCTTTGCCTCCCACCCTTCAACAGTGGCAAGACAGATTGAAGAATGTGTATATCATGGAAAAGATAACAGCAAAACTTCATGTAAAAATTGACATTTTTCTGAGTGTTTGGAACCCAGCTATTTCCCACTTTGGATGGCCACTTTGATAAAGATGCTAAAACTGCTAATCCCCTTGACATGTCTCTCTCTTTTAATGAAAGACAATGGATATAAACATTTCTCTTTCATGTGAGCCGATGAGAACCTCTAAATGTCAATTGCCAAAATGGACTTAAGTGTTTGCTGAGACCCCCCCCCCCCCCCTCGTTTTTTTTTTTTTTTTTTTTTTTTTTTTGGTTTTTTGTTTTGTTTTTCTCTATGTAAGTACATGCATAAATACACATATGTATATGTTCTGGATTCCTAATAATCTTAAATAAAGAATGTTCAAAAAAAAAAAAAAAAAGTAAAATAAGTAGCCAACCTTATCACTTTCTGTAACCTACTAACACGGTAAGGAAAGCATCAGATGAGCTACCTGAGAAACTAACGTTACGTTTCCCCACTTTAAAACCAAACAAACATGGTCGCTCATCCTGCTGATCAGCTCTCTTCTCTGCCATCGAAGGCTCCAACGTGTTTTCTTTTCAGGTGCTGCATCATTACAGTGGTGCTTCCGTGCCATGTTAATTTGTTTTTACAAAAGTTGCATGTTACGACTTTTTTCGCTTTACAAAGCGCGGGCTGTCTGCGAATTGAGACGCAGCTTGCGTTTGCCGTATCGGTCATTAGAACAGTTGACATTACTGCCTTTTGAAAACAGCCTTTGCTCACATGCGGCGCTGGCTCGCTCTGCCGTATTTTTTTTTCTTCCCCCGTTTTAAACAAGTGGCAGTGATGACGACGGCGGCGGATGACGCATTAATCGCGCGACACAACTAATCGATGATGAAATTCGTTGCCAACGCTTTTAAAAGTCGATTTTTATCGATTTTATCGATTCGTTGTTGCAGCCCTAATTCTAAGTTTATCTCATGTCTTCGTGCTTTTGTGATGCTTGGTCTCATCTTTTGCAACAGAGATTTTTGTGATTTGACATCACTGAATTTTAAGTCCATAGGATACTCCTCCAGTTCAACCAAAAAAAGATGAACGCCCACAGGCCTGCTTTCATACCCTTTCAGTGCATTTAGTGCTCCGCTTCCTCCTGGTTTATTTGAGTTCCTACCTTTTCTATGGCTGAACTATCCTCACGTTGTGCTTTTATAAAATGTAAAATCATAAACATTGTAATGTAGCATTGTAACCTGGAGATTGATTTTCAGTATTTTCATCCACATTCCAGCGCTGCTTCACAAACCATTTTTTTTAATTTCATGGTCATGTAGGGGCAGACCTGTTGGAGAGGGATTTTTTTTCTTAAGAAACAGAATTATGAAAAAGAAAGTCGTTGAAAATGGTTTATATGCTGTTCAGAGAAACAATGAAACACACATTTTGTCCAGCGCCCAAACTTCTGTGTTTTATTGCAATTCCAAGTGACTGACCACCAAAAACTGATGTATATTTTCTAAGTTAAAGGCAAATAATTAATTTTATTTTCATTTCTTGCTGATAAGCATGCACTCATCTGAGCTCCCTACATCAGTTGTGCACAGAACCATCTTTCACTACAACTTAACGCTGTTTGGCCATCTTCAATGGCAAATTATCTAAATATGTCTCATCATAATTTTCTGTAAAAAAAACTTTTTCAAGTCTTGCCATGAATTCTCAATTGCAATTACCCTCTGTCAGGGACATATTCAACTTTCACCTTGAGTAGAACTTCTCGGCATGGAGTCTGAGTGGACCATGTTCCCTCCTGCCCAAGTAGGTATTGAGAAGCCAAGGTTGGCCAAAAACTCTGGCCTGGGAATAGTTTGGAGAGGCCATGGAAAAAGATTGAAAAACCGGCCAACCTCAAATGAATTCTGCCAACCTTTCTGGCACCTCTCAATTTTTTTTCTCCATCCATTATCTGCCACTTTTATCCCAAGCGGGGTCACAAGGGGTGCATGTGCCTATCTCCAGCTGTCAATCGGCAAGAGGCGGGGTACACTGTTAGGTTAATTATAAACTCTCCTTAGGTTGTTTTATAATGTGATGCAAATATGAACCATTTGCTATTTTAAATTTTATTTTACATCCATCTATCCATTTTCTGTTACGCTTATCCCTGCTCTGGCTGGAGGGGTGCTGGTGTAGATCTCCATCTGCTCTATGGGTGAGAGGCGGGGTTCCTCCTGGACAGGTCACCAGTCTATGGCAGGGCAACACAGGACAAATAATCATTCACTCACACACTCACACCTAAGGAGAATTTAGAGAAGCCAATTAACCTAACAGTCATGTTTTTGGACTGTGGGAGGAAGCCAGAGTACCCGGAGAGAACCCACCCATGCTCAGGGAGAACATGCAAACTCCATGAAAGACGCCGTGCCAGGAATCAAACTCGGAACCTTCTTGCTCCTGGTATTTTACAGTGATTTTAAGATCTTTATTTTGATTTTAAATTCCTCCTTAAGCTTCTTCATCCAGACATACCGTCTAGGTCCATCAGATCAACTGAACAGCAGCTTCTACAGGCACCAAGTTCAAGGATGAAGTTCGGCGGAGCTTTTCTGTTGTTGTTCGGCAACTAATGATTAACTGCCTCATATTAGAGAAACTTCATTGTCTGCTATTAAAACTCATCTCTAAACCTATTTTTATTCTCCTGTTTTTAACCTTAGTGGGACCCGGATGAACCTAATTAACTTGTTTAGTTGTTGATGTTCATAGTGAAGTGTCCCATTGCGTAATATACTTTAAGGCGCTTCATAGAATACAATAAAAAAATGAATAAAATATGTTCAATATTTTGTATTTTTACTCTACATTTTTTAAGCAACATAATTAGCAAATATTTTTTTTCAGTCGTGGTTTTAAAGTGTTATGAAAATTAATGTTTTTTCTTCATTTTTTTATCTAAATGTTTGCAGTCTGATTTTTTTTCTTCACATTTTCTGTATTTTCTTTTCTTCTGCTTCTTTTAGGCTCTTACAGAGGAAGGTTTTGGTCCAATTACCACGGAAATCACTGAAGCCAAGCCATTCTATTACGCTGAAGACTACCATCAACAGTACCTGTGTAAAAACCCGCATGGATACTGTGGCCTGGGAGGGACAGGAGTCAGCTGTCCAGTAGGACTCAACAAGAAGGCCTGAGGAATCCTTACAAGTCCAACAAGTTGAAATCACTGAACTCTTCCTGATGATGGAGTTTCCTGACATGCATACCGTTGTAATTTCCTGCTCTGCATAACCATAAGTTTTTAGAAGCCTTCAAGTTTCTATTTTTATTGACCGTTTCATGAATATTTCAGTTACAGCTGCCAATGAAATGATTTTCTTTGCTGTTTGTTTTTGAATAAAGCAGCCTCTAAAATCAGAAACGTTGACATGTTTACTCTGAGCCGTCCTTCTCATGGGTGCAGTGTTTTTCCAAAACCTTTTAAAGATTATCTGCAGAGACACAATCATTTATTTATTTATTCTTACTAATGAAATATTGAAAATGACTGATAAAAAGAGGCAGACGGTTTGGTTTGGAATGGTAGATATGATCCATTCTTTTTGTCAGACAAACTACATTTTGGCTACAGGCTCTTCCATGAAACATTTCCGTTGTAGTGTTTGGTTCTTTGCTCTCTTATACTAAATCATTGTGTCCCAAAGATGCTTCTTTGAAGCTAGAAATGTCCACCAAATAAACAAAGGCCCCAGCAAAGGGGCCAAAACAGCTAAATGGGTTCTTCTAAATATTTAGAAACTAAAGTAGAGCTAAAAATACTTTTGATTTCAACAGATTTGCTTATGACAAACCAATAAGTAAAGTACAATTTTTCAAATTAAGTTATTAAGTCTCTGAATTATAGTTTATTAGTCTGAAGCAGAGAGGATGAGCTCCAGTCTTTCGATGGTCGCTCTCCTTCAGCCATGATTCAGGTCCAACACACCTTAACTTAATACCTGGAGAGGGAAAAAAGTGATTCATTGACTCTGCAGGTTCTCCAACTTGACATGTACCTATGACGAAAACTACAGACCTCTCTCGTCTTTCTATGAGAGAAAAAAATGTTGACTTAGACTTACACAGATTTTATTTGTCATTTTTTTACAGAAGTGTAAAACAAAAAGATATTTTGTTTGGAAACTGCTCTCTGGACAATTTAATGTTTTTTAAAAGTGCAGCCTTGAAAAATAGCAATATATATATATACACACTGCCTGGCCAAAAACAAAGTCGCCACCTGGTTTACCCTGTTCCAGAGTGATGGGCCAATCAGGGTAAGAAGAGAGGCAGGTGAAGTGATGCACCCACCATGCCTAGTGCCTACTGTACAAGCCTGTGGGGGCGGTGTTATGATCTGGGGTTGCTGCAGTTGGTCAGGTCTAGGTTCAGCAACAGTATGTGCTCAAAGAATGAGGTCGACTGACTGAATGACCAGGTGATTCCATCAATGGACTTTTTCTTCCCTGATGGCACAGGCATATTCCAAGATGACAATGCCAGGATTCATCGGGCTTAAATTGTGAAAGACACATCATTTTCACACATGGATTGGCCACCACAGAGTCCAGACCTCAACCCCATTTAGAATCTTGGGGATGTGCTAAAGCACAAAGCTAAAGGCGGTCCAACAAAGTGTTAGAGTGAATGACCTTTTTTTTGGTGACTTTTTTTGGCCAGGCAGTGTATATATATATATATATATATATATATATATATATATATATATAGAGAGAGAGAGAGAGAGAGAGAGAGAGAGAAATGGGAGGAAACTGTTGTGGAATCTGCTGGACCTGCATCGGATGCTTCGAAATCTCTTCCCCGAGCGCAGCAGGGAGAACAGTCTACGTTAGGGGTGTGAGGGGTCGTTTATGATGTCACGAGCTCGGAAGACGCAGCGCTGGGATTAAATGTCTTCTATGGAGGGAAGAGGAGCCACGATGATCCTCTCTGCTGTTCTCACCACTCTTCTCACCTTCTTCCAGTCTGAGGCGCTGCAGCCTCCACACCACACAGTGAGACAGCTGGTCAGAACGCTCTCTATGGTGCTTCCGTAGAAGGTGGTGAGGATGGGTGGGAGCAGGTGGGCTCTCCTCATCCTCCTCTGGAAGTACATGTGTTTCTGTGCCCTTTTGACCAGTGAGGTGGTGTTTACATTCCAGGTGAGGGTGTCTGTGATGTGCACCCCCAGGAATTTGGTGCTGTTGACCGCCTCTACAGCTGAGATATTGATGACCAGTGCAGCGTGGTTAGGCCGGTTCTTCCTGAAGTCCAAGATGATCTCCTTCATCTATGAAACAATTTGTTAATAAATTCTGGTAGAAACTAAGTGTTTGATCAGACAAGCAGGATATCTGTCTCACACAAACCTGTAACTTCCTCTTTAAGAAGCTTTTCTGTCCTACACTCATTACCTCTGTTAATGGAAACTGTTTGAATTCCTTATCAGTATAAAAATCACCTGTCCGCCGCCTCAAACCATCAGACTAGAAGAGCTGCTGAAGGACACTAGGAAGCTGTAGACCTTCAGCTGGCTGGGAAGAGTGAAGCTGTAATAGGCAGTCAGGTTGGGGTGAACAAATAAAATGTGGCAGCAACTGGAATAAAATGGAAAAAGTAACAAAGGCTACCATCTAGGGTAAGGCCCTCTCAGGGACTCGCTCTATGACAGACATGTCCCCCTGCTTAATCTAGGACATGTCCAGATCCGCCTGAAGTTCCTCAGAGAGCAAATCAGTGATCCAGAGGAGGATTGGGAGATAAAATGTTGGTCGAAGTAGAGCAGATGTTGTTTATTTATAGGTGCATAGAAGGACAGATCAGACTTAAATGTTTTTATTGTTCTGGGGTGAAAAATTCTCAATGTAGATTTTAAATTATGAATCCATGTACAGGGTTAATATCAGCATGTGATTTAAATTAATCTAGAGCTGTTTATCAATTGAAACTTGATCTGATTTCCATTTCCATTTGGATTCATTAGCTCTGGGTGTTGGACCCTCATTTGAGAAGGAATTAAACATTTCCGTGGATTAATTTAGACTCGTTTCCATCTGTACAGCCCTTTCTGAACATCATTCAAGACAAAAACGTAATATCCTGAACCAAGCTAGCCCTGAGGGAGTGTAGCCTCGTGAGACCATCAGTCTGGAGACTCTGTTAAAGAAAATTTGGAGCCGTTCATCAAACGAACGTCCAATCAGCGTTGGCTTTGAGGCGGGTTGAGGTGTGACGCAACGAGAAGCGCAACAGTTCAGTCTAAAGAACATGGCGGCTTCAGCCGAAGAAACTAGCGTTAGCGTGGCTATCGAGCAAGTTTTATCGGAATAACAGAGTATTTCTTCACTGAAAGAAGAGCAAAACACTGCTCTGGAGGCTTTTCTGAGAGGAAAGGATGTTTTTGCTCTTCTCCCGACTGGTTTCGGCAAGAGTTTGATCTATCAATTGGCTCCTCTTTGTCGTCGCTCTGTTAGTACGTCATATGCTTCGTTGATCTGATTGGTTTATTTGGCCCGTCGATCACCAACATAGGCCAATCAGCTAACCAGTATTTTCGCCCCTTCCCAAAGTTACTTCAACGGAAGGTTTCCAGATGGATATGCGGAGCAAATCCATCTGCCGGAGTCAGGTTAGAGGGAGTGTAGTTTGATTGGGAGAATCATATTTAGCTTCAGGTATTTTATAGTGTTGCACCAATACCGATACCAGTATCGGGCAGGGCCCCGATCCAGCACTAAAAAAGTGGTATCGGTATCGGCAAGTACCAACAAATAGGGAAGCCATACCATAGCCAAAAGTTTATTTAACTATTGTCACCCATTCCAGGTAGGCAATAAAAAAGCTCTACTGGATTCACTTTGTTTTAGTCTTTTTCCTGCTTCACAAAGGTAGGCAGCAGCTTGACAAAGCCATGATGACGGACATCAATTTCAAACAGACGGTATCGGCCAATACTGTACAGCCAGGTATCGGGGCCAAAAAATGGCATCGGCGCAACACTAGTGTTTAATGACATGTCCTGAAGGTTTTCCTGTAAGCGTCAACTGTTTGAAATACCCAATATTCAGTTATTTAAGGCAATAGGCATCAGTTTGCTTTGTCTTAAAGCTACAGTGTGTAATTTTCAGCGACATCTAACGTCCAGACTGCAGACCGCAGCAACATGAACATCTCCCCCCCACCTCTTCTCCCCCCCAACAGTACGGCGAGCGTTACGGGACAAAATGTCTTCCACGACGTCCGCATCACCTACCTTCTCAAGTGATGAGGTTTGTTTACATAGATAATTTTACAGATAGTATTTCATTAGTCTGTGTAGGGTATAGATTTCATGTAGACTTAAGATAATAAATATACCCGTTATTTTTCCTACATCGTTGTGACGTTTTGGTGAGCTGCTTTGCATAGTGATATAAACAGACGAAGTAATTGTAGTCATTACTTTAACAGCGAGATTGTGTTCGCTGGAAGAATATATATTCCCCGTTTACAGAGTCCAAGTCTTGTTTGTGGCACGGGGGTTACAAGGCGAGGAAGAGGGCAGAGAGGCCGGGGTGGGCGTGCAGCTAGGGCCAGGCGAGGGAGAGGTGCCAGCGGGGTGACTAGAGCAGAGGAGGAAAGGCTTGAAGATCTCCAAAGGAGCCGGAGAGAAGTAACCGAGGTATATATCCAGAAAATTATTTTACAGAAAATTACTGAATCATTACCTGTGAAACGTCAGGGACGTTGCTGAATAAGTATACTGGAGAGTAACAGCATCATCACGCAGCATGTTATTGTAATGGGCGATCTCGCAATCGCTAGTTTGTTGGCTCTGCGCTGCCGTAGCGCAATGATGTCTGCCTCCATGGCTGCGAGACCCGCTCCTATGTAATTACAAATAACGAATTCTAAGGCAACGCAAATATTAAGGTTAAGAGGCTGAGCTCGTAGATGATGATAAATAACATAGTTATGTATAATATATTACATTTCTGACTGTATATCCCTGTAATTATTACACACTGTAGCTTTAAATGTTTTTTTTTCCCAAAACAAAAAGCTACGTTGATGAACCTCTTCTTCATGGTTATTTCTTCTGTTTTTTCTGCTCCTAGAGTTATGTTTATAAATAAAGTCACTATTATTTTAGGAGATGCAACATAATCTACATCGGAGAGGACAGATGTCCTCTCCGATGTAGATCAGATAAATCCTATTATTTTTTTATCTGGGCAGTCATAATCTCCCCGTTATTCTCCATAGAAACTCTAATGACTTTACATTCACATAGGAATTTAATTACATTTCTTTAAAGAGAAAAATTATCAAGATGATGGAATAGACGGGGATTTATTTTATATTATTTTTTGTGTTTGGAATCTGGGTTGGAAAATCAACCAATACA